TTTGACCTCAGTTTGACCTCAGTCTGACCTCAGTCTGACCTCAGTCTGACCTCAGTTTGACCTCTGTCTGACCTCAGTCTGACCTCAGTCTGACATCAGTCTGACCTCAGTTTGACCTTAGTCTGACCTCAGTCTGACCTCAGTTTGGCCTCAGTTTGACCTCAGTTTGACCTCAGCCCGACCTCAGTCAGGCCTCACTCTGTCCTCAGTCTGACCTCAGTCCGACCTCAGTTTGACCTCAGTTTGACCTCAGTCTGACCTCAGTCCGACCTCTGTCTGACCTCAGTCTGACCTCAGTTTGACCTCAGTCTGGCCTCAGTCTGACCTCAGTTTGACCTCAGTCCGACCTCAGTTTGACCTCAGTTTGACCTCAGTCTGACCTCAATCTGACCTTAGTCTGACCTCTGTCTGACCTCAGTTTGACCTCAGTCTGGCCTCAGTTTGACCTCAGTTTGACCTCAGTCTGACCTCAGTCTGACCTCAGTCCGACCTCTGTCTGACCTCAGTCTGACCTCAGTCTGACCTCAGTCCGACCTCTGTCTGACCTCAGTCTGACCTCACTCCGGCCTCAGTCCGACCTCACTGTGACCTCAGTCCGACCTCAGTCTGACCTCACTGTGACCTCACTCTGACCTCACTGTGACCTCAGTCTGACCTCACTGTGACCTCACTCTGACCTCACTGTGACCTCAGTCTGACCTCAGTCTGACCTCACTCTGACTTCAGTCTGACCTCAGTCTGACCTCAGTTTGACCTCTGTCTGACCTCAGTCTGACCTCACTCCGGCCTCAGTCCGACCTCACTGTGACCTCAGTCCGACCTCAGTCTGACCTCACTGTGACCTCACTCTGACCTCACGTTCACCACTGTTCACAGGAGACGTCTGCTGGATCCAGGAAGAGAAAAGCAGCGTTGATCACGACCGACGCAGGTGACTGAGAAATTACAAAAAAAAAAAAAAAAAAATGAATTGTTAAATATATTTATATATGGAATATAAATATATTGGCCTATATATTTGGTTGATCTGACGTCTTGTCTTCCAGTCCCAGATGAAGAGAGTACCATCGAGGAACAGGAGGCCGTGGAGGAGTCGGACCACAGGTCGGAGTTGGCCGACCTCGCAAAAGACGGTAATTGAATTAATTGTTTTTATAAAATTTTTAAAAAAATTTCGACTAATATTTAAATATAAATAAATATTCAAATCTAATCTTCACATTTTTAAAATTTTTTTTTAATTTTTTTTTTTTTGTAGCTGAGATGCCTCTGGAGTCTCTGGTCAAGCAGTACGCCGGCGCCTACGCAGACAGCTTCGATTGGCCCCGGCCGAGCGCTCAGAGCGACGACGACGGCGACGTCGAGGTCAAGGAGCCGGACGGCGGTCCGGCGTGGAGCCCGCCCGAGGCGGTGCTGATCGACTCCCTGCTCAGCGTGGACCAGTACCGATGCGCCGACAAGGCCGCCTACTCGGAGAACAAGGGGAAGGCGGGCCGAGACATCGCCGAGGTGGCCGCCGCCACCGAGGTCATCCTGCCCAAGGGCAGCTTCAGGACCAGCGCCGCGGTACGACTCCGACAAACGTTAAATAGTTAAATGGAGTTAAGTAAGAAAAAAAAAAAAAAAATTCCGATTTTTTTTTTTTCTTCCAGAATCGCAGCCCGGCTCCGTTCCTGCTTCACGGTACCCTTCGAGAGTACCAGCAGATCGGCGTGGACTGGTTGGTGAATCTCCACAAGAAGCGTCTGAACGGGATTCTCGCAGATGAGACGGGACTTGGGAAAACTGTCCAGACGGTGGCGTACATGGCCCACCTCGCCGGCCAGGCCGGTCAGTACCGCTTCCCAGACGATCGGTTACTCCCAAGAATTTTTTTTTTTTTTTTTTCAACTCCGAGAAATTTTTTTTTTTTCTTACGCTTCACTCCGTCCGCAGGTATCTGGGGCCCCCATCTGGTCGTGGTGAGAACGTGCAAGCTCCTGAGCTGGGAGGTGGAGTTCAAACGGTGGTGCCCGGGCCTGAAGATCCTCCTGTACCTCGGCGACAAGAAGGAGCGCCGATCCAAGAGAAGGGTACGTTAGCCGGCACCGAAAACGCACGCACGATGAAAAAAAGTCCCGAGTATTTGACCACCCCGCGTTCTCTTCCTCAGCGGTGGGCGGAGGCCAACGGTTTCCACGTGTGTCTGACCACCTACAAGCTGCTGATGAAAGACCACGCCCATTTCCTCGACAGGAAGTGGAAACAGGTGGTGCTGGACGAAGTGCAGCTCATCAGGAACATGACGGAGAAGCACTGGGAGCGCGTCTTCAACCTCCGAAGGTGAGAAAACCGGGAGTCCCGGGGTTGCGTTCCCGCAGCGGCGCCCCCTAGTGGCGGTAGATCTGAAAATGTCGGTCGTTAAAAAAAAAAAAAAATTTCTCGCCGTCTTGGCAGTGAGCAGCGGATCCTCCTCAACAACACGCCTCTGCAGAACACCCTGAAGGAGCTGTGGACCATGATCCACTTCCTGTTGCCGGGCATCACCCGACCGTACGCCGACTTCCCCGTCAAGGCCGGCACGGACCAGAATCAAGACTACTGCCACAAGCTGGTCATCCGCCTCCACCGGGTGAGTGTTGGTCCTGCGGGGCCGCCTGTAAGGTGTCGTCGCTATGACGATGACGACGATCTTCTCCTCCTCCTCTGCTCCTCTAGGTGATCCAACCGTTCATCTTGCGACGCACCAAGAGGGAGGTGGAGAAACAGCTGCCCAAGAAGTACGAGCACATCCTGAAGTGTCGCCTGTCCGGACGACAGAAGGCTCTGTACGAGGACATCCTCACGAGGCCCGGGTGAGTCTTCAACCGTCGGATCGCGAAACATCGACTTTTTTTTCGGTTACGTCACGAATACGTCATCTCCTACCGCAGAGCACAGGAGGCGCTGAAGACGGGCCACTTCGTCAGCGTGCTCCAGGTCCTGATGCAGTTGCAGCGGGTGTGTAACCACCCCGAGCTGGTGGCGCCCCGCGAGGGCAGCAGCGCCCTCTACTGGCCCTCGCTGCAGTACGACGTCCCGTCCGTGGTGCTTGGAGCTCTTCGGAAGGACCACTCTCAGGTGAGTGGACGTCGGACGTCCGGGAAAAAAAAAAAATCCACTGGTCAGACCGTGACAGTACACACTCCGGTCCAGTAGGTGGCAGTGTGTGCTCCTAAAAATCACCCCCCCCCTCCTCCCCCTCGTCTGTTGTGATAAAATCGCGTCTGTTTCAGTACAGTACTCTCGTGTCGTTGTTGTTCGGTCGATCTCGTTAAGACGACGTCCTTGTCCGATTTCGTCCCTTGTCCTCGTAGACGGCGAGCCTGTCCATCTTCTCCC